ATTATTTCTTTCTTCCTTTATCAAACACAAAACAAACAAACAATCCATGTCCATTATATCTTTCCTTATCCAGAAAAACACATTGTATTTTTCTTTCCCTCAATAAAAGTTCATCTCCATGCTTCCTATCTCCAATTGAAACATACTTCCTATTTTCCATATACCATCATTTTGCTTCATCCTAATTATTTTCTGGATGTTTGTGAAAAACCTCAATTCCTTTACAAATCAGTTTTGGCAAGGGAGCATATACAGCAGTCGGTATTTTAAAAAGGCCTCTCTTTTCCTTTAGTCTTTGTGGGCAATGTTTTGCTTAGCTTTTGGGTGTGTTTACATTTTCAAGACATGATAAGACAACAGAGAGAAAAACAACTTCAAGAGATAGAAAAAGAATTATACCTGGATTTTAGAAATTTTATATATTTTTTAGAACAGATATTAATAATTTATCCACATAAGTATAATCAAAGGTTTAGCAATAATTACTTGACAAGGCTTCCCATGTAATTTGATATATTAAATATACCCAATTATGTTAATATTTCTCTTTTACAAAGAATGAGAAATATTATTTGAAGTGTTTCAGGAATCCTTCTGAGAAACTTCAAAGTTCTCAAAAATCCGAAAGTCAAGAAAAAGACTATTTAATTTTTTGAATTTGGGGAAATTTGTCAAACATATCAAGAATTAAAACATTTGGTCAAACAGACTTATAGGTCATTGTATGAGGGGGATAAATGGTGATAAAAAAATAAAATAAGGAATGTGAAATAATACTTAAGTTATTCATGTAATCATGGTAATAAAGATTTCATAGGCAAAAACAATAAATTAAATAGTTGTAAGCAAATTTAATAGTCAAAAGACTCAGTTTACTTGAGCAATTAATTCTGATGATAAGCTCAGGGAATTATTTAAGTAAAATGTAAAATCTTCGCTTTCCCTTTATAATCTCTTATTAAAAGCACAATAATAGTACACTTTTTATTTTAGCTTTACATTAGGTTTTAGCTTTACATAGTACAATATTGATATTAAGCTTAATAACAATTTCTGAATATATGTCATAACTTCTACAGACATAGGTTTTTAGCAACTAAATTTCACAACTTTTAGAAACATTTGTATCCTCAACACAGCATAAGACATTTTTATTTATTTAATACTTTTTTATACATTAGCATTAAGTGCTTACCCTGCACTTTCAAAGGCCCAGCATCTCGGAAATATCACGAAGCAGCACACCTTGTACCAGGGTCTCACAAGAATAAAACAGACAATGATTAAAGACACACAAAAAAGTAGTTTTAAGTTTATAAATTTTTATGCTTAAAATCATGATTGAGTTAAAATTAAAAAGTGCATTTCAATTGCTAAAAAACAATATTAGTATAGTTAGCAGAAGGGGACAATCAGTATACTGAGGGATCTGACAGGATGCTGGGAAACAATTTCACTCAGGGAAGCTAGGCTGGTTTGGAGCTGTGGGAGGAGAGGACTCTTCCACTTCACTCCAGTTCCCTGGCACCAAGCAGCTCTTCTGTCCCCAGTCTTCTTCCTGTCTTGAGAGATCCTGTCCTACCTACCTGTCACATTCCAACTGAAAGACTCTTCCCAACTTCTTTGCAGCATGAGAAGTGCCTGCTCTACATGAGTCAACTTGACCTTCAGTTTCATCTTGGCAGAGGCAGAAGAGGAACGCTGCCCCCTCTGGACTTGACACAAGTTCCCCAGCCATTAGAACAAGGACGCAGCAGCTTCTGTTTAGTCAGACTCCTTTGGAGAAATGTTCAACATTCAACAAGCTTTGTAAACCCAACACTAAACAATTCCTAGCAAGCAAACTGAATTATCTTTTCTATAAGAAATTAGGAAAAGTGCAAGTGATTTTCAGTACTGTTGGAGAAAACAAAAATAAAACAAACAAGTGACACCTGGCCACCTATTACTTAAAAAGATCACAGTTTCAGTTTTGTTTTTTAAGACTGTGGGCAAAAAAGGGGCCACATACTAAACCTGCAAACTCAGGGGAGCCTGTGTGGCGGCCTTACAAACTCAGAGACCCACAGTAACCACGTAGGATGGTCTGACATTAATACTTTCTAATCTACAGCTCCTACAGCATCCCACTGCATGCTGCACCAGGACAATCATCCCCAGGGCAAATCGCCCCCCACCCCTGAGGGAAAAATCCCTCCAGATCGCAAATAAAGGTATTTGACTTCCACCAAAAAAGGAGGGAGTTCCAAACCTAAGAGGGCTCCTTCAGTCAAGGAGATAGTGGTCCATGGAAGCCCTGAGCACAAAAGAGGCTCTGTAACCACCATACCAAGTTCCAGGGGATGCTAGTCCATGAAGGTGAAACCATTTCAGATCCCACTCCTAAAATCAGATATGCTAACCTTAAAATAAAAGCCCAAATTGAAAGGAAATCACCATTTGAGATTTAAAAAATAGCTATTTGGGAAGTACAATTCAAGCAGAAACTCAAATAGTGTCCCAATTAGGATACAAAGGTGAGGGGTGTTTGTGAGAAAGGGAAGGAGAACAATTCCATCATTAGAAGGAAGGCATTTCTATTGGTGCAGATAACCTAAGAGTGACACTAATTCTAAAGAATGTTTTTAATTTTTAATTTGGTAGTCATCCATTGGTGGCCATAATATCTGCTTTCTTGTTATCCTTGTATACAGTTCTTTGGGACACAATCTTGATTTAGACCTAGTTCAAAAGCTATTTTGCCCTGTTTTAAAATTGCAAAGATTTAAGGCATAAGACATACATACAAGGCAGTTCCCCTGGGATGGTAGCTCTGATTCCATTCTAAAGTGACTCTGTTTATGTTATTATTTTTTTACAGAACTTATAACTTGTATAAATTTACCACTAATTGGAAATACAAAACTAAAGTGAATGACAGCTTGTACTAAAACACCAACAAAACCCTGTTTATATATAGTTGCAGTGATCAGCATTTTGTGATACAGCAGATGTAATACTGAACATATCTCTTATAAATAAGAGCAGCAATTGACCATATAGTCTGTTAATCTGTGTTGAAATTCTATATGCATGTGTGTTTCCAGGCCCAAAACAAAATATCTAGAAAGTTCATAGCTCTACTTTGTAAAGTGCTTTCAATTTAGTTTCTTCATGGACAGCATTGTTTCAGTCTCAGTTAATTCTTGCATTAATAATTTAGAAATATTAATTCTTGTGACCCATACAAATGAGGTCCCTTGGTAATTGTAAACAATCTCTCTAGAGAAGCTAATTTGAAATGACCAAGGCAAAGGCCAATCTCAAGGAACCTTTTGAAGGCTTTACTAATTCCAAATTTCTATCATTTCATTTACAATATTGAGTGCCTATTATTTGTAAAGCTCAGTATGGTCTAAAGCAGGGAGGCTTTCGCTCACAATGTGAAACAAGATGGGTAGGTGGTAATATTAGAGGGAGTCAGTTCAGTAGTATTTTAGAGCCTGGGCCCAGAAATCAGATGTACTAGACTTTCAACTTCCCTTTCACCACTCACTAGAGTGTGTAATCCTGGGCAAACCAGGGGATATATAATGCCAACTTCATAGAGCTGTCGGGAGGGGAAAGGAGATCTGTATAAAGGATTGTGTACAGTGCTGGCACTTACTAAGTATTCACTTATATCAATTACTCTCTCTGCTACCCAAGGAATAAGAGCATGTGTAAAGAATACTCTAAATTGTTTTACACATGACCTCTTATTTTGTCTTTATAAAAACTCCCAGATTTAAGCAGAGTGGTTTTTATCTTAAATATTTTATTTTATTTGTCCCTGTTAATGTATTTTTATGAGTCCTAGTTAATTTCCAAGATTCGTGAAAAATTGGAGGTTGAAAAGGCTTTTGAGATTATCCTGTCCACTGTCTGAGGAGATGACTTTCACCCCTCTTCTATTCATATTTAAAACCAGGAAATAAATGCTATTTCCTGGACTATTCTAGCCATTAGAGGAGTAGCAGGAAATAAAATGAAAGGAAATATATGTAGGCAAAGAGATTAATTGGAGACGCACTGGGAGAGTAAGAGGAGCGCAGACTAGAGGGAGGAAATACAAGGAAGAGAAGGAAAACAGAGGAAAGAGGACCTCAAAGAAATCTTAAGAAGAAACATTAAGAAAAGGGAAAGAGGGAAAAGCACAGAGGGATTGTAATTCGTCACCATAGGCACTAACCAGGCGGGAGAGTCAGACGTCTGGGTTCCGATCATTGGAAAACGCATGATTATAAGAGGCACTGCTTGGCCTCTCGGTGTCGTATTCTTCCGAGTTCCCAGCGCGGACTAAAGCGGTTAGTTGGATGGACTCTCGTAAACGAGAAAACTCTGTTCACATAAGGACACAGAAAAGAGAGGGCCCTGGAAAGGCACGTGGAGCAGAGGCAGGGGAGAGCCACTGGCGGCGGAAAGCGCAGCGGGAGGGCGGCAGGGCTGCGGCACAAACCGCTGGGAGCCGGGAACCACCGCAGGAAGCTGCAGCGGCGGCCGCATCGCCCACCTGCCAGGTGCGTGGTCGCAGCTTCACACAAGTTGCTGGCACCCTCTCAGGATCTCCACGGGCCGTCCTAGCGTGGGCCTCATTTTACAGGAGCTGTCCGCAGCAGAGAGGGTTCGCGCCTTGCCTACGGTCTCACAGCGGGAGGTGGCCGAGAGGGATTCAAACGCAGCCTGCCCACGGAGAGGCGACGCCCTTAACACCATCTCTAGAGCCTGGAGGGAGCCTGGTGCGCAGGGGGCGGCCCCGGGCGGGTCCCTCCCAGCGATGCCCTGGAGGCGAAGCCGCTCCTAGCGCTCCCTCCGCGCTCCGCCCACCGCGTCCCGTCCCCATGGAGATGGGGTGGGCGGGACTTCCTCTCCCACGCAGTCCACTTCCGTCTCGAGCCGGAAGCGCCCTGGCTAACCGAGCGAGGGCTCGCGCGTGCGGATTTCGTGGATCGTCCGCGTGGAGGAACCGCGGCGGGGACGGGAGAGCCCGGCCGGCGCGGCGATGCTGACCCCCTCGTTCGACCTCAGCCAGGACCCCGACTTCCTGACGATCGCTATCCGCGTGCCCCACGCTCGGGTCTCCGAGTTCGACGTCTACTTCCAGGGGGTGGACTTCAAGTTCTACGCTAAGCCGTATTTCCTGAGGTGAGTGCCGCCCTGCGGGGACCCCTCACTCCTCTGTCTGCCCCTCACTCGCTCTCACCAATCAGCGATCTGTGACTGCCTGCCGGGGAGGTGGGGGGGCGGCCCGGGCCAGCCGCCGCAGCATCTTCCGTCCCGCCGCACCCCTCCTTCTCCCCCCCGCCCCTCCCCCTTCCCGGCCCCTCCTCCGGACCCCTCCCTCAGCCCCCTCCCCGGCCCCCTCTCAGTCCTTCCTTCTCATAGTAACCCTGGGATAGATTTGGTGGTTTTTAATTAACTGTAAGGAAAGTTACAGAGCTGGTAAATGGCAGAGCTGGGATACAATTCAGATTCTGATAGTAAAGTTAGTATTTGTAACAGTTATAACTAATTTATCCATACACTGACTCCTTATATTGGGTTTAGGAGGGATCTTGGTTTAGAAAATGCACTGTAGCTCCTAGAAACGTTGGGATCAATGGTAACTAAGTTGTGAAGCCCTGGGCCCTATGGGGTCTGCCAAGTGTTTTGTATTATTATTGTTAGAGTAGGAAGCAAGGAAGAGGGCGTGTGAGAGAAAAGAAGGCTCGGATTTTTTTTTTAAGTATGTTTTTACTGATTTTAGAGAGAGAGGAAGGAAGAGGGGGAGAGACAGAAACATCTATTTGTTACTTCCCATGCACACCCCAAATAGGGTAACCTGCAAGCTGGGTATGTGCCCTAATTGGGAATCTAACTGGCAACCTTTTGGTGCACAGGACAGTGATCAACCAACTGAGCCACTCTGGACAGGGCAAGGCTCAGATTTTAAGTTTGGAGTGGAATGGTGCTGGCTTGATAGCCTTACTGATGGGTTTAAATTATCTAGTCAATGTTAGGCAGTCACAGAAACTTTTTCAAATAGAAAAGTGACAATCAGACCTCTGTATTAGAAAAATTCATTTGGGACCTCAATGGATGACTTACTGAACCAGAGTAAAACTGGAAACAGGGAAATCAGTTCATGTCCTTTAGTATGAAAGAAGGAGAAATCCCCATATAGTAATTATCAGATTTGAGAAAAACACTTGCTTTCTGCTTTTTTTTTTTTTTTGGTAGTAATTTGTCCAATACAAACAATTGGCTTTGTTGTTTCTTTATTGTCCTCCCCTCCTTTATTGGAAGCCAATACTTTTATTGAGCCCCTGCTGTGTCACACACCAGGTATATAACTAATTCATTCATTAATGGTGGCAGTACTGTAACAGTATTGATGTGATAACTAATATTTATTGTGGCTTTTCTTTTTAAGTATTTTATTGGTAACTCGCAGGTATTCAGACAGAGATGAGTCATCTCTGGTTTCTTTTTTCTTAGCTAGGAAAGAAATCTAACTTATATAGTTTGTAAAATGCTAAGGGATTTCTTTTTAAAATAGATAGCTTTAAAAGTTGATAGATTTTGATGTATACTGTCATTAATGGCCACTTACATTTTGTAATGTAAAGACTTCATGAGACCTTACATTAAATCTGCAGGTTAACCCTTCCTGGAAGAATTGTAGAGAATGGAAGTGAGCAAGGGTCCTATGATGCAGATAAAGGTATTTACTCTGGAAATTTTGTTAGTTTTGTTCTTTGGATTTTTCATGTTGGAGTAACTATGTAAAAATCTTTCAAGATACTATGAGTACCTTTTACTCTTTTACGTGTATTGCAAGTACAGTCTGTTCCTATTGCTAAAGTTTTTCAGTGACCAGTGATGCTGTTATTCATGGATTTCTTAACAATGACAGTTTCTTCAGTCTTTTAAAGCACTTCACAGTAAAGTTAAATACTCTGGTTCTATTTTCTAGTAGTTTTTATTTCCTATTACCCCTATATTTATTAAGTGTTTAAAAGTAAAAGTTAGAATGTGTGAGGCAGTAGAAAATACAGATGATTTTAGATGTGAATCAAATCTTTCTTGTACAATTTTAAACTTATTTATTGACCTTGATATGAGCATGAAAATATTAAATGACAGAGTTCTAACTAGGAGTGCAATGTAATTAATATGATAATGAAGTATAATGAAACTGCTTTCCTAGAATGTATGTACTCCCATGTTCGTAGCAGCACTATTTACAATAGCTAAGATCTAGAAACAGCCCAAATGTCCATCAGTAGACGAATAGATAAAAAAGCTGTGGTACATATACACAATGGAGTACTATGAGCTGTAAGAAAGAAAGATTTCTTATCCTTTGAGACGACATGGAGGGACCTGGAAAGTATTATCCTAAGCAAAACAAGCCAAACAGAGAAAGACAGATATCACATGACCTCACTTATTTGTGGAATATAATGAACATAACAGTCTGAGGAATGGGGTAGTCCCAGAGACGTGGAAGTGGGGTACAGACTGACAATCCCCAGAAGAGGGGGGGGGAGATAAACCACAGAACTTGTATGCATGTATGCATGAACAGTGGACATGGACAACAAAGCTGGGGACAGGGCGGGGAGGGAGGGGAAGGGAGGAATCAGTGGGGGGGAAAGGAGAAACATCTGTAACAATTAATTAATTAAAAATAAATAAATAAGGTATAACTTGGAAATGGCTCACTTCAAAGACAAATATGTGCTTTGATTTAATTTTGATAAAGTTATAAAATTGTCGATTTTTTTGATGTTACTGTAAAATGTGTTTGAAAATATGTATATATTCTGTAAAATGAAAGCTATAATTATTTCAAAAAAAAAAGAAAGAAAGAAACTGCCTTCCTAGGTTGTAAATCTGCTTTTAATTGCAGATAAATTGTTATTACATTTTAAAAGTACACAAGAGTTTAGGAAGGTTACTATATGTGGAAATATTTTGGGTTAAGTTGTATTTAATATATTAGGATAATGTTCAGTACATTGAAAGAAGTAAAATGTTTTAAAATATAAAAGTAGTAATTAATGTAATGAGTTCATAGGGGAGCCTAGATGAAGTTGATAAACCCGTCAAGGAAAGAAAGAAATACATAGGTAGAATTTGTGTTTGCCTTTGATAGACTTTAGGTATGTAGCTCTTGAGATAGTAAAGAACTTCAGTAAGCCATAACTGCTTTTTGTGTATATTTTTTTAAATGTTTTTTTCTTTATGGATTTTAGAGAGAAAGGAAGGGAGAGAGAAATAGAAACATTGATGAGAGAGAATATCGATTGGCCGCCTCCTGCATGCTCTCCACTGGGGATCAGGCCCACCACCTGGGCATATGCCCTAGCCAGAAATCCAACTGGTGACCTCTTGGTGCATGGGTCAGTGCTCAGCCACTGAGCCACACTGGCCATGCACTTTTTGTGTATTTTTGAAATTAGTGCTATTCTCTATAGGATAATGTATCCTGATTATTTTTTTGCCTCCTTAGTCCAGAAATAAATTTTAAAAGCTACTGGTTAATGCTAAGCTATTACATCTTAGGTCATTGCGTTTTGGAAGTTTTGACTTGGACTTTTAATATTATCAATAGTTTGTTAAGGTGATACTGCATGAAACTAAAGCATTCTGCTTTAACAGATGAATTTCTTAACAGTGGTGACAGCTGAATCAGTAGTTCTGAAGAACCCTGTTGGAGCCTTTTTCTATTTTGATTTTTATTCATTAAATTTGTGAAAGGGCATAATTTTGGAGTTCTATAAAATAGAATTATAATTTAACTAGGTATATATTACGTGGGTATAGTTTTATAACTAGATATATATTACATGGGCATATTTGTGAAGTCTTTGATTATTTTAATCTTGCTAAGCATAAAACAAATTTATCTTTAAGGAATTTTTACCATTCAATTGCCCAAAGAAACTCCTGGCCAGCATTTTGAGGGGCTGAACATGTTAACTGCGCTTCTGGCACCAAGAAAATCCAGGACTGCAAAACCACTTGTGGAGGAAATAGGTATGTTTATTGCAGTTGGAAGAAAATAAAGAAAAGCAGAATATTTAGAATGCTGTGCGTTTCCAGGGGAGAAGAGGTATAGCAGAAAGAAGATTGGAGAACATACTTCAGGTGACAAGATAAGGAGGTTATGTGAAAATAGCTCATTTGGTAACATATAATTTAAAGACATAAAAAACTACATTGAACTAGTAAGTCAGTCATACTTTGGACCAATTGAAATACCATCTCTGTCTTTAGCAAAGTACTGACCCCTTTCGCTGAGATCACAAGAATACAATTCAATGAGCTGCATGAAGTGAACACCACCTACGTCAAGAAATGGCGTTTTCAGCACCTTGGAGTCTTACCTGTGCCTTCTCTCCAAAGCGTCCGCTGTCTTCAGTTTTGCCTGTTTTCAAATTGTGTATATATTTTACACAGCATGTTTCTTTGTCTGGCTTCTTTCACTTAACATTTTTGTGAGATTTATGCATATATGGCTGAGGTATGTTTGCTTTCATTGCATTTATTATTTATACCTTCTATCATTGATGGACCGTGGGTTGCATCTACTTTTTTTTTTTGGCTATCTAAGTATGCATATTCTTTTACTGTCTTTTGGTGCAACATAGGCAATCATTTTTCCTCCCATTTTCTTCCCCAAGTTATACTGGAAATCCAGTATTTTAAAAAATTAATATTTAACACATTTAGGTGCTTCTGAGGAAGGAGTAGAAGATGATGATGAAGAGTTTGATTGGGAAATTGAGCAGTCCCCTTATGAAGAGGTATCAGAAAGTGCTCTGAACCTGCAAGGCCACTACGGATTTGGAGGCCTACGATCAGGAGTATTTCAGCGATTACAGGTGCGCGGTCTTCCTAAAAGACCTGGGTATCTGGGGTTTTACCACGTGGATATTGTAATCTCGGTGCTGCTTGCACTGGGAGTTTGTGAACATTACAGGAGGTGACCTGTTTAGAGCACAAAACACAGCTTCTTGTGCATACACGATACAGGTGTTCACTCATTGTCATCACACTGGCGGCTCTGCCCAGTCTGTGCTCTGTCCACAGGAAGGTGCCCTCTTGTTTCTCTTTTCTCCACTTCATTCAGTGTTCTAGACATTAGGGTTTTAAGATACAAAATGGAATCTCCTCTCCTCATGCTTCCTGGGAAGCTTTGTGTTTTCTATGAAAAGCATGTATTTATGGTCTGATGTCTCTTCTGTTTTATAGGTGGTCCTGGTGAGAGTTTGTGTTGTTTGATCAAATTATTTAGTTTTTGGAGCACAGTAGGAACGTTGGTCTCTACTTTTGATGGGGATTGAATGTGATCTCTTCTTAAAACCTGATTGTATGTCAGTTAGGCTAAAAAGGAATGACATCACTTTCTCTTCCTCAAATAATTCAGAAATTCTACTTCATTCTAAGCTTTCTAGGGAGATTGAAATGAATGAACTGGAGGGAAGAGATTGGATTACTTGGTTCTGTTGTTGTATAGAAAATGTATTCCTAGAATGCTGTGTGATGGAAGTGTCAGTGAACCATTAACTTGGGGTCTTAAATTTTCTTTTAATTTTTTTTTAATCCTCACCCAAGGATATTTTTCCATTGATTTTCAGATAGAGTGAGAGGGAGGAAGGGAGGGGAGAGACAGAAAGGGGGGGGAGGGGTGAGAGACATCAGTGTGAGAGAGACACATTGATTGGTTGCCTCCCGCAGGACCCTGACCAGGGCTGGGGATGGAACTGCAACTGAGCTATGTGCCCTTGACTGGAATCAAACCTGTGACTCTTTGGTCCTGGGGTCGACGCTCTTATCTGCTGAGCCAAACCAGCAAGGGCCAGGTCTTAACTTTATAAAAATGAAATAAAGAAACAGAAATGAACAGTTTGTGTGTGTGTGTGTGTGTGTGTGTGTTTAATTTCATTACTGTGTGGGTAGAGGATGTTAAACCTTTTTAGGATGTGGTTTATTATAGTAAGACATGTTTGAGTCTACCAAGGAAAGGTAAGTGACCTATGCTATAGTTCCACTTCTACCTCTGTTTAGATTTGGGATGTCAGGCCAATTACTTGACTGCAAGGAAATTTCATCTCTTCTTTGTAAAACAGAGGTAACTTTGTTCACCTCTTTAGAAGGCCATCCAGAAAATTTAAGGTGATGCTACATTGTGTGAGCTCTTTGAAAACAACTTTAAGAACCTAGAAAGACCTCTGCCCATGAAAAATATAAAATGCTCTTAAGATTCCTTAAAGGGAACAAAATTGGGATTTACTTAGGAGCAAATAATGCTGATGAAATATTTCCTTCAAAAACCTTTTCTGCTGAATTATCATCTCTGTATTCTCTCTCCCTAATTAAATTGCCTGGTCACCTCTGAGGTAGATAGTAAGAATGGAGTCGGTTTTGTCTACAGCAGAAAATATAGTGACTGAACCTCAGTTGTTTGGCTGAGAGCTAGTTTGTGGTCAGTCTGTTTTGAACTTGCCTGTCTAAAACTATTAATTGAATGAATGTGAAAGTCACCCAGGCTAAGTGCAGATTGTACATTTGGATTGAAAGTGTTTTTTGAGTCCAGGGAACCTGGTGTCTTTCTTTCTTTTTTTAAACTATTATTTTTTATTGTGGAAAGTATTATAGATTCCCCCCATTGACCCCCTCCTCCCTGCTCCCACCCACCTCCTGCTTTCCCCAAATTAATGCCTGTGTCCATTGGTTGTGCATATATGCATATAAGTTCTTTGGTTTATCTCTGTCCATCTCTCCCACCCCCATCCCTCTGAGGTTTATCAGTCTGTTCCCTATTTCCATGTCTCTGGGTCTATTTTGATTGACAGCTTATTTTGTTCATGATGTTCCATAAATAAGCGAGATCATGTGGTACTTGTCTTTCTCTGACTGCTCAGCAAAAAATGCTGTCCAGGTCCCTCCATATCATCTCAAAGGGTAAGATATTTTTCTTTCTTACAGCTGCATAGTGTTCCATTGTGTAAATGTACACAGCTTTTTACCCTTTTTACCTTTTCAGTTATTGATGAGATCTGGAACTGGTTTCTTAATTGCTACTGCTGTTGAGGGAAGACCACTGAAAGGCTGTCTGCCAGAATGCTGAGAGGGTGTGCATTGCCAAGCCCCTGTTAAGTCATAAGTTCTCACATCTATTCAAATGTGTAAATAAGTAATTTAAGTTGATTTAAGAGAAAAGTTATTATGAAATATTCTTTATATCTTTCTGAATGTCTTAACTAATGTACCAAGTCTCTAGGTACCTATCATCCAAATTAAAAAAGAAAACATTACTAGCATAGTTGAAGCCTCTGTGTGTCCCTTCCTGGTTACCTCCCTCTATTTTCCCACAGAAATGAACCATTGAATGTGATGTTTATTATTCCTGAGCATTTAGCTTGATTGTCTGAAATCATTAAACTGTTCTTCAGATTTTCATGGAATGAACATTGCTATTCTCCACAGTTTGAATGCATATTTTCCTCAGTGTAGGCGGGGAGCTGTGCGTGTGACTGAACTCTAAGGGGCGATGTAAATAGTAATGCCACTAGTCATCCAGGTACATAACTCCACGTGTGTAATGCTGGAATCACACAAATTCAGAAACAAAGTTGTTTTATATTTAGCTTGGTGGCAAAACCTGATCTGAACTGATGTTAGATTTTGTTGTTGTTGTTAATCCTCACCCAAGGATATTTTTTCCATTGATTTTTTTTTTTCTCCTTAGAGTAAGAGGAAGGGAGGGAGGAGGAGAGAAAGAGGGAGAGAGAGAGAGAAACACTCATGTGAGAGAGACACATCAATTGGTCACCTCTTGCACATGCCCTGACTGGGGCTAGGGATCGAACGTGCAACCCAGGTACGAGCCCTTTACTAGGAATCAAACCTGTCACCCTTTGGTGTGCAGGCTGATGTTCTAACCACTTGGCACACCAGCCAGGGCTGATGTTAGTCTATTAATAGTTTCTTTTTCTCCCACTTAGTGTTCATATTCAAAAAATTTGCTGTAGAAACAGTAATGAATTTGAATATTGGGTACTGATCTAGACTTCTTAGAAGGGTTTGAATAATATATGAGTACCATATTACTTTTGTGAACTCTTCAGAGTTGAATCCAGAAGCTTGCCCTTCTCCAGGGGATTTGGGTCACAGACTTGCACTCCAGTGTCTGCACAGCAGTAGCTGGCAGCTCCTGAGTCTGTCCTTATGCCAGGGACTGTGTGCCCACCGGCTCCACATTACTGCTCCATCGTGGCATCATTGCTGTTACTTCTGCACATTATACCTGTGGACGCACCAACAGACTCTCTGATCTTTAGAGAGTATCATGTTTTCTTATATGAATTAAATTTGAAGACTTGGTGTCCTTCATAACAATGAGGAAATATCAGAACTTTTGAAGATCATGTGAATGAAGATGTCAAGAATTAAAGGCTGCCTTCTTTGAGGTATTCAGGTAGTATTTAATGCGATAGTGCTACAGAAATTTTATATAATTGGTGTTATTTGCAAAGTTCCTTTGCATTTACATATGCTCTCTATTTGTGACATTTATACCATGTGGTTAAAAACTGAGTGATCATGTAAGATGAACCTTGTGACCCTTTCCTTGTGACTCAAGTAACTAAAAGAAACAATTATTGCATAAATAAGAGTGTTAAGAGCATCTGTTCTAATTTAAAATGATGCATTTAAGAAACATCATTTTCTCAAATAGTGTTCTCTTAAGTTTAGAGTTTCTCTAGCTTTGCCTTTGGTGAGAAAAATCTGTTAAAGTTTTGTTAACTACTCATATTTTACTAAAGTATTTTTAGTCTCTTTTCCCCCTCTTAAATGAAAAATGGCTTTATTTTCTCTGATGATAAAAGTAATGTGTAGCCATTGTAAAAATCTAATATAACAAAGAAAGTGAAACATACGTAATTCCGACAAGGTATCTTCCATTAAGTGACAAACTTAACTCTTTATGGGGTGGGGAGGTAGTATAATCTTCATTGCTACTTACTGATGAGAAGAAAATAAAAATATTTTTGCTAAACAGATTTTTTTCAACATTCCTCCTTTCTGCCCCCACATATATCCCCTTCTTTTCCTTTCTGAACTTGCAGCCAGCCAGTAGGGCGCCTTTGGAAAACTGCCTGGGCTGCCCAGGGTCAGGGCTTTTCACAGCGGCTCTGACAGTGGCAGCTGCCAGCAGCAACAATCCTGGAGGCTCTGGGCCATTCCTCTTCTCAGCCATACCAGGGACCTGAAGCCATTATTTTCAGGAGATCCACTGGCCAGATGTGCACACAGTTCTTTGTTTTCTCTCTAGATAGTCTAGCCTGACTTAAATCCTACATGAACTTTTCTTGGCAATGTCCTTTAAATACTTTTAATAACAGTGTCCATAGCAGTGCTTTTTAAAATCACCTTTGTCTTGCTGTAGGTTAACATTTCTCATCCCTTTTTCTTCCTTCCCTCTGGTTGGTTGATGCCTGGATTTCTCTGCCCCAGGCTAACTGCTTTTCGTTTGCTCCAATTTCTCTTGAGTTTGAACAGAGCATATTCTTGATACATTCAATGATGCCAGTTTCTTTTCTCTGTCTCTCAGCCCGCCATTCCCGGTTACTGGCTGACATCCTGGCATTATTGAATGTATCAAGACCTGCAATTGATTTCATTGAATCCTCATAGTTGCCTGTGGTAGACAGAATAACACCACTCAGACCCCCACAAACCCCCCACAAAATGATCCACATGCTAATCCCATCAACATGTGAATACTTTACCTTACTGGTAAAAGGGACTTTGCAGAATTAAATTAAAAGTCTTTAGATGGGGAGATTATCCAGGTGGACCCAATCTAATCACATGGTCCTTCTAAGGGGAAGTGAGTCAATGTGAACAAAGAGGTGGTCATGTGATGCTGGAAGCTGCAGAAAGAAAGACATTGTGATATGGGGTGATGAGCCAGCAGTGAGCACCGTCTGCCTCTGACATGGGAAAGGCAGAGAACAGATTCTCCCCTGGAACCTTCAGAAAAGAACCAGACTGGACTTCTGATCTTCAGAGCTGTCAGAGAAAAAAATGTGTTTTGTGTTAAGCCACTAAGTTTGTGGTAATTTCTTATAGCATAGGGTCACTAGGCTCATTTTTATAGTAAGGAAGCTGAGAGGTTCAGAGAAGTTGTACAATTAGAATGGAGCTGGGTTTTGAATTTAAGTTTGTCTTGTTTTGTTTTGTTTTGTTTTGTTTGCTTGCATTGTTTTTTTAGATTCCACATATGATATTTGTCATTCTCTGTCTGACTCATAAACAGAGACCAAAGAATGGTTACTAGAGGGGAAGGGGTGTAGAGATGGAAAAGGTGAGGGGAATGTACTTAATAATACCATGATAAATTTGCTCGGTGACAGATGATTACTAGAAAAAGTGGGATGATCACATTGTAAGGTATAAAAATGTCAAATCACTGTATTGTACATCTGAAACTATACAACCAATAATATAAGATTGTATACCAATTATACTTAAGTTAAAAAATAAATAAATCCAGGTTTGTCTGACTTCAAAGTCATGCTTTTTCTACTTCATCAGATTACTTTCAAAATGTGTGTGTGTGTACGTGTGTGTGTGTGTACGTACGTGCACGTGTGCAGGGAACTCCTTTGGGCTAGAAGGAAAGAAAGTGATGACTCAGGTGCTGGGGTCCAAAGGCAGGAAGTGGCTCATAGTATTCATCTGGCTGAGGTAAGTCCTCCAAGTACAATGTAACTTATCTCCTCCAGTACCTACAGCAGTGCCCTGCTGCTCTGTGGCTGATGGAGCTAATTTCCAGCATACGAGGAGGGATGGGAAGAAAGGAAGAGTCTAGGTTCCACTGCTGGGGAAGAGATGTTTCTGGTGATTAAACTGGAACTTTGGAAATATTTTCCCATGGAAACATTGCTGAGTGCTTATTAAACAATTTGTCTTGAGTACTCTGTTTCAAGTTTATTATGACTTGAATAAATTTGTGGGTTGTCTTGAGAGTCTAATTGCTATTTATAAAAAAAATTTCTATAGGAAAATACATTCTAAGTTTCCAAAAAGTAAATTGCAAAAGAGCTTTTAGACTATACATTTTTATAAGTTTAGGGACAGGCAGATATCTCGTTTTTGCTCAGAAGGTTTGTTTAGAAGTATTAAGATGTTCTGGATGTGACTTCCAAAAAAGTCTGGGCCCTTATATTATATTAGAATGTGCTTAGGTTAAATGTTGATACTATTTCAGCTAAATGGATTGTGGTAGAGATGAAAGAAATTTTTTTTTTTCATTTGAGCAAGATTTTTTTAAAAATATTTTTTTATTAATTTGCTTTTGTTACAGATCTTTCTCATCCCCCCCACCATTGACACCCTCCTCCCCTTCCCCCCCACCCCATCCCCAGCTTTTTGTCTATGTTCATTGGTCATGCATACATGCATGTAAGTTCTATGGTTTATCTATTCTCCCTACAATCCCCCTCCTCTGAGACTTGTCAGTCTGTACCCCACCTCTATGTCACTGGGTTAATTTTGTTTCACAGTTTGTTTAGTTCATTATACTCCAGAAATAAGTGAGATCATGTGATATTTGTCTTTCTCTGCTTGGCTTGTTTCGCTTAGCATAATACTCTCCAGGTCCTTCCATGCCATCTCAAAGGATAAGAGATCTTTCTTTCTTACAATTGCATAGTATTCCATTGTGTACATGTACCACAGTTTTTTAATCCACTCATCTACTTGGGTTGTTTCCAGATCTTAGCTGTTGTAAATAGTGCTGCTATGAACATAGGGGTACATATATTCTTTCTGATTGGTGTTTCCAGTTTCTTAGGATATATTCCTAGAAGTGGGATAACTGGGTCAAATGGCAGTTCAATTTTTTACTTTTTGACGTAACACCATAGTGTTGTCCACAGTGGCTACACCAGTCTGTATTCCCACCAGCAGTGTACTAGAGTCCCTCTTCTCCACACCCTCGCCAACACTTATTGTTTGATGATTTGTTGATGGCGGCCATTTTGACAGGTATGAGGTGATACCTCATTGTTGTTTTAATTTGCATCTCTCTGATTAGTGATGTTGAGTATTTCTTCATCTATCTATTGGCCATTTGTATGTCCTTTTTTGGAGAGATGTCTCTTTAGATCCTTTGCCCATTTTTTAATTGGGATCTTTGTCTTTTGTTGAGTTTTATGAGCACTCTATAACTTTTGGAAATTAACCCCTTATCTCATGCATCATTGGCGATTATGGTCTCCCATATAGTGGGATCACTTTTCGTTTTGATGGTTGTTACCTTTGCTGTGCAGAAGCTTTTGAGTTTGATGTAGTCCCGTGTGTTCATTTTTTCCTTTGTTTCTCTTGCCTTAGGTGTTGTATCAGTGAAAATTCTGCTGTGTTAGGATGTCTGAGATTTTGTTGCCCACATTTTCTTCTAGAATTTTTATGGATTCATGAGTCACATTTAAGTCTTTTATCCATTTTGAGTTTATTCTCATGTATAGTGTAAGTTGGTGTTCTAGCTTCATTTTTTTGCAAGTAGCTGTCCAGTTTTCCCAACACCATTTATTGAAGAGACTGTCTTGACTCCACTGTATGCTCTTGCCACCTCTGTCAAATATTAATTGAACATATTGTCTTGGGTCAATTTCTGAGTTCTCTATTCTGTTCCATTGATCTATGTGCCTGTTCTTCTGCCAGTACCAGGCTGTTTTGATTACAGTGGCTTTGTAGTATAAACTGAAATCTGGTAATGTGATCCCTCCTACTTTGTTCTTTTTTTTTCAAGATTGCTGTGGCTATTCGGGGTATTTTTGGTTCCCTATAAACTTTTGGAGTGTTTATTCTAGTTCTGTGAAGTATGTCGTTGGTATTTTGATGGGAATTGCATTGATTGGTTTGGGTAGTATGGGCATTTTAATGATGTTAATTCTTCCCATTCATGAACAAGGCATGTGCTTCCACTTTCTTATATCTTCCTCTATTTCTTTTTTCAGAGTTTCTGTGAAGAACTCTTTTACTTCTTTGGTTAAGTTTATTCCTAGGTATCTTCATTTTTTTGCTCCAATGGTAAATGGGATTGTCTTTTCAGTTTTTCTTTCTGTGATTTCGTCATTGGTGTATAAGAATGCCGTTGATTTCTGATGTTAATTTTGTGTTCTGCTACTTTGCCAAATTCATTTATTAAGTATAGTAGATTTTTGATGGAGTCTTTAGGGTGTTCTATGTACAATATCTTGTCATCTGCAAATAATGACAGTTTTACTTCCTTCTTTCCAATTTGGATCCCCTTCATTTTTTCTTCATGTCTAATTGCTGTGGCTAAGACTTCCAGTACTATGTTAAATAAGAGTGAGAGAGAATTTTTTATTATGCAGAAATTTTGATTTTGGGGGAAGGCTATACCCTAGTTTCTTACTGGCTACTTCAGCACATCTTACATTCCATAGCAGGGATTTTGTATCACTGCAGTAGATTTTAAGCCTGATTGTTAGACACTAACCTGTCACTTCACTTACAAAATCTGATTCAATAGTTTGCTGCACATCTTTCTACCAAATTGTTATCCATGATTTCTTTTCAGCTCATATTCTTTAAGCTTTTTCTAATTTCTATACTTCTCACTTGGAGTTTATAGTAGAAATGGAAGGTTGAAGAAAGGAAAAAGGTATAGTTTTAGAAATATTTTGTGTCAAAAATATTTCATATGGTATAGATTTTGTTACTTCATAATTCCAATTAAATTTAAAAAGATCGTATGGCATCCTAGGCAGTTTTTCTAATATACCTGCATTCTTTATGATTTGCCTTAGAAACCATGCTGTATATAAATATATATACATGTAGGCAAAGATAGTTACAGTAAAGTTGATTACTTAGGATTAGATTTTTAACTTTTCAAATGGAAAGTCATATACATCAAAATTTTTCTTAAAGAGTCTTAAATCTGCTCATAAAGTAGAATGTACAGTTTTGTATGTTTTATATAGTGTTCTTTGAAACCAGCTGAGGTAGACCATAGGAAGAAACAAAAGGAAAGTCTTTGTGTAGATGATTGATACTGAATTCATTCTGTCTGTTAAAAAATGATTAAAGAAGACAATTCGGTGATATAAATAACTTTCACACTTCAGGAAGCTTCCATTCTTCATTTGGAGAACTACAAAATGGGGTGAAAGGCAGGAGCTTTTGTAGAAGAAAATAAATAACAAGGAAGAGAAAAATAGAAAATATCTGATGGACGGGGGGCCACGTAGTCAACCTTGTTTGGGGCTGGAAGGAATAAGAAACTAAATACAGTGCCGAGCTGGCCTGGCATTTGGGGAGTGACTGGCTGAATGAGTATACTGCATTTCTAGTCAAGCAGAGCATTTACAGGGACATGAAAGTTATAATCTAAGTTATGGTTGGCTTAAATGGCATCTGGGGTAGGAATATCTCCATTTTGAGTCTAGAAATTTATTTTAGCATGCTTTTAATAACTTTCAAATCTCTAGGAGTAAATGGGGAATAATGAAGAATTAAATGCTCCTGCTAACGTACAGCACTTTATTCTGTTGTTTTTTATGTTAAACTTTCGTAGCCTTAATATATCTTTAAAAGTTTGTTGTAAGGATTAAATGAGATAATTTTTTCCTGGCAAGTAGTAGAGGTTTAACAAACATTTGCTGGATTTGAATCAAAATGTCACAGGTAATATCATGGCTTACTGATCAGATTTCTTCCTGTGTTTTGGCATTTTGTGCAAAATATATTTGTCAGTGCTAAAATAGGAGGTAGCAATTATTCTTTCTTGGTGTTTTTAGGATGAATTCAGTGATGTCATCGATATTAAGGACCCAGATTTTACTCCTGCAGCTGAACGGAGGCAGAAACGCCTGGCAGCTGAGCTGGCCAAATTTGATCCTGATCATTATCTGTGAGTACTGAATTTTTTGAGAATTAAATAATTTACTTGACATTTATTTTTAAATTTTGAGTATCTTTTTAACTATGCTATGCATGTGCTTTTTGTATTCTGGAAATTGGTGATAGCTCAAAGACTTTTACATTAACCTACCACTGTAAAAGCCTTTGTGATATTTATGGAATGTTGCTTCTTAGCCGCTGATTCCAGCAGAGAGCTCTTCTAACATGCTTCTTTGAATTTTTTTTCCTCCGGGCTGAAAAATAGAGTACTGAATTCAAGCATATTTGCACTTCTCTTAAGTGTTTTTTGTTGTTGTTGTTGTGGGAATGGTCTTGATGAATTTGAATATACATTTACTGCATTTCTTGGCTGGTCCAGGCTTTTCCTAACACTTTCATTCACTAGCACCAGTAATCCGGTTTCAAATTAATAGTTACTTTTTGTAGTAGGATATAAATAAAGTCTAATTTTAAGTTTTGCTTTATTTTATTGCTCACTTGCATTAACTGTGTCTTTAGCGATACTGCATCTCTGTCAGGCTTAAATTTGCCCAAGGGATTTATCTAATTAATGGATAGGTAAATAATCACTGGAGGAGAGACTGACGTTTCTCATAGGCTATGACAGCAACACTTCTTTCAAGGAAGCCAGTGTCCCTGGCCTCTGTGAGTGGCTCTCCTGGTTCACTTAGACCTCCATTATTATTCTTCCTAAGCTCTGGCCATCAACTTCTAAACTGTCATATATTCAGCTATAATCTTACATAATTTTTATATTTCTGTAATGCTTTAAGCTTATCAAGTGCTCTCATATGATTATTTCAGTTTTCAGTAGGAGAAAGGTTAAGGAACTTGCCCAAGGTCACACCACTACTAAGTGACTTGGGTAGGACTTGAAAAAGACATGTATAGTTTTGTATTTTCTTTCATTTTTACTATTTCAGTTTAACTGCTCTTGGTCTTGTGATTAACATTGGATCTCCTATGACCCAGTGGGAAACTAATTGGAATGGCAGAAATAGATCTTGTGATATGCAAATGCATTGAGTGATATGTCCTGATAAATGGTTGAGCAATTCAACATCCTAAGGGAAACTGGAGAAGAGCAGAGTGTGTTCTATTTTGGAGAACATCTGAGAGATGCAGATCTATTCACATTGCCATTTCTAATTACCTTTATCACTCCAATTGTGGCTTTAAAAGTCCACTATTTAAAAAGATTTTGCTGACTACTTAACGTAAAAATTTCATTGCCAGCAATTTTCTCAGGCAAGCATGAAAACAGAATGAGCTTTAGAAGAATGAAATTTCAAATGGGAGGGAGCTTAATTAGGAGAACCTTCCGATCTCTTCTCTTATAAAGCTGGAAGGATAACTGTGTGGCCTGAGAGAATTAGAAATTAGAATATATAGTGAACAGTGTGATATTATAAGCAGCTCCTGTTTTTCTTCAATTTCTGTGTTTCTTGATCCAGGAGCTCATTTTTGTTAACAGTATGCATGGAAAGTTCTTTCTATTTCTCAAGGGAGTGCTCTTACAGGAGTGGTTTAAATTTAGTCATGGGCAAGGTTGAAGAGTGGGAATCATGAGTTAAAGGCTCCTTGTGACTTTTCTGATAGCTGTTAAGACTTTGGCTATTGTGTTACTCATTTTCTAAATTAAATTTATTGGCATGGCCTCTATTAATAAGATTATATAAGTTTCAAGCGTACAATTCGGTGGTACATCATCTGTATATTTACCAACCAAATTCAAGTCCTTTTCCATCAGCATCTATTTGACCCCGTTTACCTTCTTCATCCTCCCCACACCTTCCTTCCCTCTGGTAACCACCATACTGTTGTCTGTGTCTACAAGTCTTGTTTGTTGGTTACTTTCTGTGTTATATCCCACAGATAAGGGAAATTATATGGTTCTTGAACTTTCCATTTGACTTACATCTCTTGGCATCTATGTTGTCACAAGTGGAAGTATTTCATCCTTTCCTGTGTCTAAAACTTCATTGTATATTTGTACCACATCTTTTTTATCCAGTCATACATCAAAGGACACTTAGGTTGTTTGCATGTCTCGGCCACTGAATAATGCTGCAGTGAACACAGAGGTACGTATATTTTTATGAATAAATGTCTTCAAATTTTTCAGATAAATACCCAGAAGAGAGGTTGCTGGATCATATGTTAACTGAATTCTTAATTTTTTGAGAAGCCTCCATACTGTTTTCTATAGTGGCTATACCAATTTACATTCCCACCAGCAGTGAATGAGTTTCTTTTTCTGCACAACCTCACTGACATTTGTTATTTATTGTTTTATTGATCACAGCCATTCTAACAGGTGTGAGGTGTTATCTCATTTGTTTTTTGTTTTGTTTTTTATCCTCACCCGAGAATAATTATTTTTTAAATTGATTTTAGAGAGAGGAAATGCACATTGATTTAAAGGATTTAGTAAAACAAATATAAATGTTGCATCAATATTTATATCGATTATCTCTTGAAATAATATTTTAGATATAACAGGTTAAATAAATTTATTATAGGTATTAAATCTTTAAATATTTAGTAGAATTCACTAGTGAAGCCATCTAGTCCTGGACTTTTACTTCATGGAAGGTCTTTGAGGACCTTTCTTACTGTTGATTGGTATGTTTATAGATTTTTCAGTTCTTCATGATTTAGTCTAAGAAGGTTATATATTTCTACAGACTTGACCATTTCTTCTAGGTTATTGAATTTGGTGATTTATAGCCTTTCATAATATTTTGTATGGTCCTTTTATGTTTTGTTGTCACAAATTATCCCTTTTTGTGCCACGAGTTCATTTCTAAATTGCAGTAGCTTTTGTCTTTTTTTATGATTTTACTTCTGTTAACCTTTATGTTATATTTAACTATATTATCGTGTTCTGAGCAAGGGTTGCAGTTTCCTGCTTTGAGCTGTCTGTTAGCCATCTTACTCATAGTTTTGTATTCTTTTGTCTTTTGTTTTAGGTAGAATACCCTTCAGTGTTTCATATAATGCAGGTCTTCTGGTGGTAAATTCCCTTAGCTTCTGTATGTCTGGAAAGGTCTTAGTTCTCCTTCGTATTTAAAGGATATCTTTGCTGGATATATTATTCTTGCCTAGTGAATTTTCTCTTCCAGTAGTTTGAATATTTGATTCCAATATTTTCTAGCTTGCAGGATTTCTAATGAAAAATAAAGATGATAATCTAATGGGATTTCCTTTGTAGGTTACTGTCTTCTTTTTCCTGGCTACCTTGAGAATTCTTTGTCATTAATTTTTGAGTTTTAATATATTGTTCCTTGGAAGGCCTTTTTGGATTGAGATAATTAGGTATTCTGTTTGCTTCTTGAATTTGAGGTTTTTCCCATAGGTTTTGAAAGTTCTCATTGATGATTTGTTTGAATAGGCTCTCTGTTTTGTTTTGTTTTTCTTATCTTTCTGGTATATTCACTGTTCTTATGTTGCTCTTTCTGATGGGGTCTAGTTCTCCTAGAGTTCTTTCTTTTTTTAACTCTCAAGTTCCTCCTTTTTTAAATTAATTTAATTTTTTAAAATTGATCTTTATTGTTGAAAGTACTACAGATGTCACCCCTTTATTCTCCCATTGACTCCTTCCACCCCACTCTTGTCCCATTACCGCTGCAGACCTTCACTGTTTTGTCTGTGTCCATGTAAGTTCTTTGGTTTATCTCTTCCCAACCCCACCCCCTTCCCTCTAAGATTTGTCAGTCTATTCTCTACTTCCATGTCTCTGGATCTATTTTGTTCATCAGTTTATTTTTTTCATTAGATTTCACATATGAGTGAAATCATCTGATATTTGTCTTTCTCTGACTAGCCTATTTCACTCAGCATAATACTCTCTAGGTCCCTTCATGCTATCTCAAAGGGTAAGAGATCTTTCTTTCTTACAACTGCATAGTATTCCATTGTGTAAATGTACCACAACTTTTTTTATCCATTCGTCTACTGATGGGCACTTGAGCTGTTTCTAAATCTTGGCTATTGTGAATAGTGTTGCTATAGGAGTGCATATATTCCTAGGATATATTCCCAGAAGTGGGTCAAATGGAAGTTCCATTTTAATTTTTTGACAAAACTCCATATTGTTTTCTATGGCTACACCAGTCTGCATTCCCACCAGCAATGTATTAGAGTTCCCTTTTCTCCCCAGCTTTGCCAGTGCTTGTTTTTTTTGTTGATTTGTTGATCGTAGTCATTCTGGTAGGTGTGAAGTGTTTACAGACCAATATCCTTGATGAACATAGATGCCAAAATTCTCAACAAAATATTAGCAAATCGGATCTTGCAATATATTTAAAAAATTATGCACCATGACCAAGTGAGATTTATCCCAGGGATGCAAAGCTAGCACAATATTCACAAATCAATAAATGTGATACACCATATAAACACAATGAAAGATAAAAATTATATGATCGTATCAGTAGACACAGAAAAAGCATTTCACAAAATCCAGCACCCATTTTTATAAAAACTCTCAGCAAAGTGAGAATAGAAGGATCCTACCTCAACATAATAAAGTCCAAATTTGAAAAACCTACAGCCAACATCATACTCAGCATCGTACATACTCAGTGAAAAAATGAAAGCATTTCCTTTAAGAACAATAACAAGATAGGGATGCCTGCTTTCACCATTCTTATTCAACATAGTACTGGAAGTCTTAGCCACAGCCATCAGACAAGAAAAATAAATAAAGGGATCCAAATTGGAAAGGAGGACATGAAACTGTCATTATTCACAGATGACATGATATTGTGCATAGAAAGCCCTACAGACTCCACCAAAAAACTACTACATATAATAAATGAATTCGGCAAAGTAGCAGGATAGAAAATTAACATCCAGAAATCAATGGCATTTTTATACACCAATAATGAACTCAGAAAGATAAACTAAAAAAAAAGAATCCCATTTACCATTGTAACAAAAAAAAATTAAGATATCTAGGAATAAACTTAAGCAAGAAGGTAAAAG